ACAACTTCTCGGTGGCATGTCCTCTGCCAGGGGTCAGATTATCTGATTATATCCCCCCGTTGAGGTACTATGGGAAAGAAGTAGGTAAAGTAAACTAAATATCAAGCACAACAATGGCTTGTGATTAGCTCCATAGATAACTAAAAACAGTCACTTGCCTGGAATGGAGAGAGGGAGTTATCTGTGCGAGTCTGAAGTCCGGCAGAAGGCAAGGCAGAGCGGGCTGCGGCAAAACTGTAGGACCTTATCACTCTGAGACAAGGTTATTCCATAGGCAACAGCCTACTTTATCAGATGTTAGCACCGCTGAATGAATTAGTATCCAAGGTGCCACCCTGTGCTGCCTTCTGCCTTAAAGATATGGAAGATTGCTGTATAAACTAGGAGGAAGAGGAGTTATCAGAAGTGGCTTCCAAAGAACTGCACTTGAATAGCTCACCTGATTAGGAGATCACAAGGACATGCTGGGGAGGTCCCCGTGCCACCGCTCTTGAGCAGGCTGGAATACAAGGTCTTGAGCGGTGCTGGGGGCACCCTGCATAGCATCCTTGCCATCACCTGTCCAACGGAGAGGACAGGACGTGGGCAGAGGCCCTGCATGGAGAGGGAGCATGTTGGCAAGGGCTTGTTTTTTCATCAGCATGACAACTTCTCTGTTACAGTAGCATAGTAATGGGGGGAGGGAGAGGGGGACAAGCAGGGCACAAGCCTCAGGTGCTTCCTAAGTGGATGCACCAGAATGGAGATAGAAGGGCACTTCACCCTAAAATCCCTCATTCTGTCCCTCTTCATGCGCTGCATTTGCTCTGCAGTGGCTCTGGCTCTGGATATAGCAGTAGCCAGAAGCTGGCTACTGCAAGGGGAGGTGTCACCTTTTTTTGTTGCCCCAAATCAGTGTTTAAATGGCTGCTCAACACAGTAACAGAAAAAATGGTGGGACCATCTCTCCCCACAATAGCGAGCCTCCAGTCGCTGCTCCTGTACCATGCACTGCTGCCGTTTACGGCACAGAACTGGCCAATCACGCCTCTGCTCTGCCAACGCAGTGTAGACCTACCCTTCATCTCACTCTGTGCCTCCATTTCTCATCTGTAAAATGAAGACAGGAATACCTTCCTACTGCAAGGGATTCAAGAAAGGACAAAAATCAACATCTGGATGCTCATTGTGATAAATGAAAGAGCTACAGTTATTTAGTCTGGAGAAGGGAAGACTGAAGGGGGATTTGACAACTGTCTTCAAATACTTGAAAGGTGATTATAGAGAGGATGGAGATGGGCTTTTCTCCGTGTCTGTAGTGGCCAGGACTAGGAGCAACACCCTCAAGCTGCAGTAAGAGAAATTTAGGTTAGAGACGAGGAGGAACTTTGACGATGAGGGTGGTCCAGCATTGGGACAAGCTACTAGAGATGTGGAATCTGCATCCTTGGAAACTTTCAAAAGCAGGTTGGATAGACCCATGGCTGGGATGGTTTATTCAGGGATGATCCTGCCTTCAGCAGGGAGCTAGATCAGCTGATGTTGTGAAGTCCCTCCCAGTCCAACTTTGTTCACGTGGTCCTATAACACCAGGACCACATAAGGATCTAGACATCTGAACTCTGCAAGATACAGCTCTAGTGCCATAGGGTGCATCTACATGAGATGCTTTATTATGAAGTAGCATAGTTTACTGCCCACTAAGCAAGTGTGTCTACATATGCACATTCTTACTGCACAGTAAACCTCACTAATCACAAGGAAATTTGCTACCTGAAAATGTAAGTAGCAAATTTTCTTGCGAGTAGTTACTGTGCAGCAGCACTTGTGTAGACACCTGACTGGGAGCAAATTGGCTCCTGGTCAGCTGGCCACCAGGGGGTGGGAGATTGCTCCCTGCCCCCAGGAGCTGTCTGCTACCAGGGTGGGCTCCGCCACCAGATCCTGGGCAGGGACTACGTCCCCGTGCCCCAGCAGCAGGGGGCTCCAAGGCCCCAGCTTTCAGATTGCGATGAGGATTTCCCAGCCCCTGCGTCCTGATCTCCCAGCCCCCATCTCTCCATCGTGATCAGAATCTCTGCCCAGCCGAGGGCTCACTGCTACCTGCCCCACTGGTAGATCGGGGCAGGGGTCTGGGATCTGCCCCACCCCTGCAGCTCTTTCCAAGTTCCCTGCCCCGATCAGGGAGCCGGGACTGGGAGCTCCCTGCTGCTGGGGGCAGGGAGCAACATCCCAGCCCTGGCCAAGAGATAGCTGTCTGGTGGTCCAGTGCTCCCTGCCAGTCCCCAGGCTGGCACCCAGAGGAGTCTAGAGCTTCCCCTGGTGGTGGCAGGGGTCCATTGCAGGGCACCAGGAAGTGGGAGCAGTTTGCTGCCAGTAACAGCAAATCTGTTCCCACATCCCTGCATGTGCAGACACCTGCCTGGGAGCATTTACTTGCAAGTAGTTTACTTGCCATTAAACGGCTCCTAGATCTAATAAAGGTACCGACACACCCACACAGTTGTACTAGGCAAACACTGGGAACTAGCAGGTATCAGTGACCTTTGGGTCCCGCTTAATAAGCATTAATCAAGCTGCTGTAATGGAATAGGGAAGCAACAAGCTCAGTTTGAGGGGAAGGTATCACTTCTTATTCAACAGTGGCCCATGGGAAAGCTGAAAGGTGTGTCATCTGTCCCTCTGTGGTGGGCAAGATGGTGGTTTTAACAGGTTGGGGAAGGCTTCAAAGAGGCATTTGATCCATGCCTCAACAAGCCATTCCTGTTCAAACAGCAGGTACAGGCATGATGCAGAGGGCTCGTTGGGTGAGAATTGATGATGCCCTGTGTTATGCAGCGGATCACAGTAGGTTATTATAATGATCCTTTCTGCCCTTAACACCTTACAGTGCTCAGGCTGTCTGCTTAAGTCAAGACACTGAAGCAGATCATTTTAATTCTTAAAGGCAAAGAGGACTATAGCTCCAGTGGGGAAGAAGCATTTTTGAAACAATTCACAATCACCTTGACTTCCTATAATACTGTATTCCTTGCAGCAAACCGGAGACCTCAGCTGCCAGCAGTGAACCCGAAGTCAGCTTTCCTCAATCTCAGCGAATGGGTCAAAGAGCGCAGGAACTCGAGGAAAGCTGCAGCCCATCCCTGTACTGAAACAATCAGCGGAAGCTCTGCCTTGTTTGAGGAATTTCCCATGTCGCTAATTCAGACATTAGAAAATGGCTTTTAAGCCTGCACAAGTGCTTCAAGATAAAAATAAACACAAGCAAGTGGGCAAGGCTAAACGCATTTCTTTAGAGCTTCCTCATTTCGAGGTGTTTTTAAAATCAAATTTAGAGGGATCAAACTGGGGCAAGACCTGGGGAAGTGCGATAACAGCAAGTGCCAGACTCATAACACCAGCTGGGACAAGCCTTCTGCTGAACTGGCTTAGCCCTAAGAACTACAGTAAAATACAGCTGCTTGTACCAGCTGGAGACCCTACCTCTAAGTCTCTGTTTCATTGAAAGTGCTGACCCAAGACACTGCCAGACAATTAAACCAACAACAACAATGACAACAGAAGAATAAAAACGGTGACAATGGATCTACACACGTAGAAAAATCTACAGATTGAAAAATACAACTTTTCAGTGAAATGGCAACAGATATTTCAGCGAGGAAAGGTAACCTGAAGGGTTTCTGCCTATTAAGCACCATTCTTTACATTCCTTCTTCACCATTCCATAGCTGCAAGCCTGTTCTAACTGTTACAAGTAGGATACAACCAGGATTAACAGTACTTTACCTTTACAAAGCACTTTCCTTCCCCAAATAGAAAAGCGGAAGCTGCAGAAAGGTAGATGAACATATTTACCCCATTGATGGGGAAGGTAAGACACGGAGGGGAATGTGACAGAGCCAGATTTAAAATCCAGGTGCTCTGACTCCCAGTTTGCCGGCCTAATCGCTAGATGATGCTGTGTTGCAATTGTAACAAAACTTGGTGGATGTCATCTGGGTTACATCCCTGCTTCAGGTAGCTCCAGCATCGGACGGGGGATCACTGGAAGAAACATCACCCTGAAAGCATCCCTACACTCCCACTGGCTTGCAGCTTGCCTTGATGTCAGTTCAGCACAGATGATACAAATTAACTGATGCACAGTAACTGCAGAAAATCATTAGTAGAGCTCAAAGCAGAGAAAAGGAGAAAGCATCATAAAGCTTTAAAACTCCAAGGCGAGCCCATAACAACAACTTACTGGAATGTAGTAACTACGATGTCTCTCTCCTCTCAGTAAGTCTACTTGATCCACTTTCACAGGTCAGTCTGGCAGAGATCACATTTAACATAAGGGACTAATGCCTGATCTTGCACAGCTGACACAATATGCTGCTTCTCACTGCATTGCAAACCCCAGCTGCATGATGTGACAACTTGCAGGTTCCCAGCTGGTTGGAACAAGCCTTGTAGCGGGTATGATTTGGAGGGTGACACCAGGAACATTGTTACACAGGAGATCTGAACATGGAGTTTTCTTCACCAGGCTGAATAATCCAGCTGTTTCTGCAGCTCCCACCATTTGTCAGAAGTTGATGCTTTGTTGGAGGTGCCATGCCTCCCAGCATTTTGTGAGATAAAAGCAGGGCATGCTTGGTATGTTGCTTCCCTTCATCCCCCTCCCTAAAGTACTGTTAGCTGTGTTAGTCCTATTATTAATTACAACCCAGTCAAGAGCAGGTCTTTGCCAGAATCCTGCAGAGTTTACTCCTTACCCACAGTAGCCAAACACCACTCTCCTGAAACCTGCCATTTCATCAGGGTCAAGCAAACACCCTGGGCCACGTTCTGATTTCAGGTACACCTGCGCGAACCTGCAGCATCCACAACCCAGAGATGGTGACTGAGTTAGTTCACATCCGCCCTCTGAGACCACAGTCTGGCCCTGAAAACTTTCTGCCGCCAGCTTTGCCTGCTCCAAATAATACTGCAGCCATGGGAGGAATAACTGTTGTTGCATTAACAGGCATTAACCTTACCTGGAGGGCAGCAAGTGCTGATCTCTGCCGAGTCAACTGCTTTGCATTCTTCCCCTTGGAATGAGAGGGAAGCTTCCTGCTCAGATGTGAGCTTTGCTCTCATTCTCTCTCCTTTGTTTGCCTATAGACTCTGCTACAGCCGGGTGAGATCAACACAGACACACCTGTTTTTGTTTTTTTAAAGCATTGCTGGAGGGGTACAACAGCCTGAGCGCATTCTCTGATAGCGAAAGAAAGCGAATCTTTTGGATTCAAGTGACTAAAGCAAACAAAGACCCCTACTTCCCTTTCCTATGGGTCATGAGAATCTCTTCACAGGCATTTTTGGGTGGGACAGCAGTAAACTGAACACAAGCCACATGGGCAGGGCAGATCTCCTCTATGACATCTTCATTTCCTGCCCCTCCTGGGCCAGGGACAGAAATTACACATAAGCTGTTAAAAGCTATTGGAAATGGATTTAAAACTTGTAACACAACGGAAGTGCAATGCACATAAACTGCTTTCAAAACGGCCAAAATCAGTTTAAGATAAACCTGGATGGATGTAGTATATCAGACTTAACTGATTTAGGTTAAATTAGTTTATTGAACTTCTATCCCAGATTCCCTCCAGATTCAAGTTAATTTACAGTCCCTTGGCCTCCCAGGATGCTTTGCATCTTGCAGGCTGGGTGGGCTATCTTTGGCCCAAGCTGTCTGCTTCAACCAAGAAGGGAGGCATGTTCTAGTGTTCCCGGCTTCTGGCCTGGGCCACTGCATTTCTGGAATCAAAAGTGAATGTCTGTTCACTTGCTTATCGGTTCAATCTATGCAGTTTAGACTAACCTCTGAAGAATAAATCAGATTCAATCAGAATTCAATCAGAATCAATTCAATCTCAGGCTTTTTGATTGTCTGTACTTACCCCTGGTGTCCAGAGAACAGAGGTGGGTTGCTGCATGATATAGCTGGTGGCCTGAAATGTCATATCATCAGCAGAAGGGGAAGTATGTGCAAGTTCCTGGTTCAGGGGAAAGTCTTTTGAGACTTTCATAGAAAACAGGAGACTCCCCTCACCCAGGCATTGCATTAACTACTAGGCTTCAGAGGCAGACTCTCCCACACTTGTTCTTTCTCTAGCCCACAACTCTTGCATTTTTCTTTGCCCAGTGGTTCAGGCTCAGCAAGAGGGGTTGAGAGTGTTTTCACCTAGCCTATTCTACAGCCTGATTGCAATGCCGAGGAGCTACTGCAAACAATATATAATTATTGCCACAAGGAGTTAAAATTATGATACAACTGGCATCTCACATCCCAGTCACCTGGGGCTGTGCCTGTTTGGCAAGCAGAAGCATCCAACGCTGTTTTAGAAGCCAAGTTTCATTGCCACGGTGACATGGGCAGATGGTGAAACTAACTGCTCCCTACATAATATCAGGGACAGCAAATGCCAGCTCTCTTTGTACTAATCCACCAAGAATGAAGAAGGTTCTTGCAATGTCTTATCATTCATCTGCCTTGACAAACTACTTTGAACCTGCTTCGAAAGTGCTGTTGGAGTTGTTCATTTCCTGACCTTATCAAGAATGCAGATTTCTGCCAGGGTGGTCACTGATGATAAGAAGCCATGTACTAGGGATGGCTTTGTTTGTTGAATAGTAATTTTTTCTGCCAAGATTTCCTTGAGATGAATTAAGGGGGCTTGAATTACTTAAATGTGGATTTCCAGACTTTCAAGTGTTTCTCTTATGGTTAAATATCCAGGGTTTGTTTGCTCTTTTTAAGGATAATGGCATGACTATAATCAGCATTGGCAAGATCTATGGGAGAATATTGTATAACAATCTGGGGCCCATATTTTAAAAATATATGTATTGAAAAGATGGAACTAGTGTAGAAAGCAGCTCCCAAAATGACCTAAAGGCTGGAGAAAATTCCTGCCAGCAGGGCAGGGCATGTCTACATCATCTCCATGGAGAGGGATGCTCTTGAGCACACCTCACCCACTGGCTCCTATTTGCACATACTAAACCCAGATTTTGTAGTGAGGGAGAAGCTCTTGGGAGTGCCTTCCACAGGCACTATTGAGACCTCTGTCTCTCGCTAGGTAGTGTGGGAGCCATGTGCTTCATTGCCACATGTCTGGGTTTGGTGCTGTGATGGGTCATCTCTCCAGCTGGGGTGGGTCAGACCCCATAACACTTGGCCACCACATGTGATGGACTTCTCTCATCTCAAGCTCCAGAAGGTGAGGGCAGCCCTGGCCCCTGTCATACTGAATCTGGCAGGAGGGTGCTCCTGCCCACCTAGCCTTCCAGAGTTCATCATTGGGTCCTTTCTCTAAGCCTCTCTGGCAGCCCCCAGAGTACCAGTTTAGCAAGCCTCTGAGAACCTGTCTCTGAATCAGGACCTGTCAACATTTGTACCATCCACTCCCTCACTGTCATGCAGTGATCCCCATGGTGGAATCGCCTGCCACCCACGGACTGTGAGAAGCCAGGGAGGGGCAGCATTTAATCACAGCTGATCCCTTAGCCCACTGGGGAGAAAGGCTCTTTCATGGGATCATGAACATGGGTGGGATCACAGCAAACATAATGGGCTTCCCCAACACTTGCCCCTTCTGGGGTGAGAGAGAAAGGCTCTGACACATGTCTACAAACAGTGCACTAGGCTGCAGCCCCTCCTCCAGCTCCTTCAGAAACTCTTCCTGTGGTCCTGGCTGCACTTGTCCCCTTACCTGCTGGTCTGTGTACTCTCCATCCAGGATCCCGACAAAGTCACAGAACCTCCTCATCAACCTTCTCCTGGTTCTAGCCAGATGGTCTACTTACATTACGAGAAGGAGGCTCGATGGAGGGAAGAGATGAGACTATAGGGCCTACTTCCACTCCTTGGTCACCTCATACATCCAGACAGAGTTTTTCTGGATGACATCCACTGACTCCCTCAACAGTTTCAGTGAGAGGGAGGTGCTGTTGGAAGGTCTCTGTTTGGTGTCCTCCTCTGGATTCCTTGTTCCTGAACCTATGACCAGCGCTCCTGCATCCTCTTCCCCTTGCATTATAACCTAGATCTATGGCCCAGCCCTGGTAATGGGGAGAGCCTTTAGCCTCTGATGGACTCAAAAACCAGCCCATCCATCCACCTAAATCTAGATTTACATTGGACCTTCAGATTGAGGGATGAGTCATCCCTTTGGCATTCAAGCATTGGCAGAAAGCTGACTCCACCCAAACCACAGCCTTAAAATTAGTTAACTGCATCAGATTGTTTGTCGTGGACATGATGGAAATATGTGAAAAGCAAGGGTGGGGTTTGATGGACCAACTGTATACTTGGCAGAGGTGTTAGACAAGCTTTGGCACAAAGCATCCTTCTTCTAGTCTGGGGAAGAAGCAGGTGCAGCCTGTCCTGTCATGGGTTCAGTTCACTGAGTCAGGAGCCACTTTAACAAAAACATTTCTTTATTCATGCCTGGTATCAGAAGTACAGGGGTATAGGTTATAGCCGTGTTGGTCTAAGGACATAGGCAAACAAGGTTCTTTGGGTAAATCTGATATCATTTATTAGATCAGTCAAATAGTTGGAAACATTCTTCTTTGCAAGCTTTTGGGTATAAATCCCCTTCAGCAAGCTGAGGAAGCATCTGCAGTTGGTGTGTGCTCTTTCTGGATGGAATGAATAGTAAAGAAGCCAGAGGCTGGTGTGCATGCAAGAAAGCCAGTCAGTGAGGATGGAGATTTCATAGACCTTAGGGCTGGAAGGGACCTTACAAGATCATCAGGTCCAGCCTCCTGCCCAAAGCAGGCATTCAACAAGGGTCAAATGATCCCAGCAAGATAGGTATTCAATTGTTTCTTAAAGGAATCCAGAGTAGGTGCTTGTACCACCCCTCGGGGGGAGTCTAGTCTATTCCAGGCCCTGGGGACTCGGACAGTAAAGAAGTTTTTCCTTATGTTCAGACTAAAACAGCCTTCCAAGAGTTTGTGACCCTTGGACGTAGTCTTCCCATGGGGTGCCCTGGCGAGCAGACGTTCTTCCAGTTCCTGTTGCACACCCCTTATATATTTATAGGCTGCCAGCAAGTCACTTCTGAGTCTACGCTTTTCCAGGCTGAAGAGTCCCATGTCTCAGCCTCTCCTCATAAGGCCTGCTCCCTTGTCCTCTAATCGTTCATATGGTTCTCCTCTGGACTTTCTTGAGCTTCTCCACATCCTTTCTGAATTGCCAGGCCCAGAACTGGACACAGTATTCCAGCTGTGGTCTCACCAAGGCTGAGTAGAGTGGGAGAATGTCTTCCTGGGCAGCGTTCCCTCTAAGCTGTGTGGCATGCACGGCCTCACAGGCGCACCTGGCAGCGCAGCATGAGTGAACCTGCATGGCCATGCACGCCATATAGCTTAGAGGGAATGCTGTTCCCAGGTCTTGTTTGAGATGCAGCGGAAGATGCAGGCCAGAGTTTTGTTTGCTTTGCTGGCTGTGGCATCACATTGGTGGTTCATGTTCATCTTGGGGTCAATCATGACCCTCAAGTTTCTTTCAGACGTGGTGCTAGCTAGCGTAGCACTGCCGAACTTATAAGTGTGATGTGGGTTCTTTCTCCCGAGGTGGAGCACCTTGTATTTCTCAGTATTGAATGCTATCAGGTTTTGATCTGCCCACCTTATAAGCCTCTCAAGGTCAGCCTGGATTGCCAGCCTATCCTCTAGGGTGGTTGCACTTCCCATAGTTTGGTGTCGTCAGCAAACTTAGCCAGTCCGTTTATAACACCCAAGTCCAGATCATTTAGAAACACATTGAAGAGTACAGGTCCAAGAGCAGAGCCCTGAGGGATGCCACTGGTTACAGTGCACCAAGTTGATTTGGATCCAACAACTATCACTCTCTGGGTCTGTCCACAGATCCAGTTCCCCAGCCATTAGACCGCGAAATTGTCTAGGCTGCAATTCCCCAATTTTTCCATGAGAACATCATGGGACACCAGGTCAAAGGTTTTCTTGAAGTCCAAGAATATGATATCCACCTCTTCTCCTTTGTTCAGGTCATAGAAGGAAATCACCTGAACATAGAAGGAAACTAGGTTGGTCAGACAAGATCTACCCACCACAAAGCTGTGTTGGCCATCTCACAGAATATTACTTTCTGTTAGGATGCTGATAATGGTTTCCTTGATGACTTTTTCCAGGATCTTTCCAAAGATTGAAGTCAAGCTAATTGGCCTGT